CCTCCCTCCTCTCGCCCCTCCTTTGAGAAGGCAAGCAATTTGATAAAGATTAAGATAATAATTGTAAAGCACTTAGCACAGTGCCTGACACATAGTAGGTGCTATATAAATATTATTATCATTATTCCTCCCATTGCCATCATCAGGGAGGCAGGGCAATTGATCTGGAGGGACAGGAAGGCAGCAGTTGCTACCAATGGCCCTTAAAGCTGCATCTGCCTCTTTTCCCCTCTCAGACTGCCTATGGGGCCTTGTGCCCCAGGTCTCTGGGCCACTGGAGCTAACCTGACCCAAGTTCACCCAGGGAGGCAGCAGGGTGCTGTGCAAAGGCGGTGGGATTCAGAGCCAGAGGACTCTGGCACTGCCAATTATTATTTGAACTTGTGCCAGTCTGCTTAACCTCTCCAGTCTCCAATTTCCCAATCTATTTTTTTAAAGAAGCCATTCAATTGGATGATCTGAAAGGTCTCTTCCAGCTCTGATCTATGTAACCCTTATACTAAGGCTGTAGAACTAAATATGTTGGCAGGAAGAAGGGCAAGAAGTCCAAGTGAGATGTCTCTGGGATTGAGTGATGCAGATCTGAGGAATCCTACCTGGCTACCTGGGGACCCCTGGGTGTGTTCATGTTTTTCTCCCATGCATGGTATGCCTCTTTCCCTGGGGAAAGTTTTGTGTGTTAGACTTTGCTATAAACTGCCTGAGGTTTAGATCTAACATACACCAATGGCTGGGGCAGTCATGAGTTCAACCACAGCGCCATAGAATCATAGATTTAGAGATGTACAGGATGTTAGCCACAGAGTGGGAGAAAGGCGGATGCATTTTATGAGTATTGGCAGCTATGTCACCTTTATGTTCATAATAGAAATCAACTGCCCTGGCTCTGTGATAATAGGGAGAGGATCAAGCAGCTGCAATGAGTATGCCAGGTTCTGGAAAAGCGGGCTGGCCCTGGAGTTGGATTCCAGATCCTTTTCAACACTTTCTGATTCTAAGGTCACAGATCTGAGGCTAGAAGAGACCTCAGAGGCCCTCTAGCCTAATCCCCTAATTTCACAGATCCTCTAATTTCACTGAGGCCCAGCGAGGGGCCATAACTTGACCAAGGTCACACAGGTCATCAGAGGTAAGGGGGGAGCTGAGGTCCTCTAACTCCAATCTAGTGATTTGTTTACCACCTCTTACCTGGCCATGCACTTCTCTCAGGAATATCTGTAGGATGCTGACACTTGGGATACAGCATGATTTTTTTTCTAGGAGAGCTGATACTATACGTCAGTTAGTCAATTAGCATTTATTAAGCACCTGCTATGCACCAGGCACTATGCTAAGTGCTGGAAGCACAAAGAAAGGCAAAAGACAGTCCCTGCCCTCAAGGAGCTCACAGTCTATGGAGAAGAAAACATTCAAATGACCATGTACAAACAAGCTCTGTGTGTGTGTGTATGATAATTTGGCAATAATCAGAGGAAAGGTACTAGAATCAGTGGGGATCTATGGGAAAGGCTTCCTTCCCACAGAAAGTAGAATTTTAGTTGGAACTTAAAGGAAGTCAAGGAATAGGTGTCTGTTCAAATGGCACATTTATGGTTGTGTGTGTGTTGGGGGATGGGGTAAGAGACAGTGAGGAGAGGAAAGTGGCATAGTCTGGAGGTCCAGCCCAGGATATCAGACATTTGACTTACGAAGCATGACTTCCTTCTTTAAGGGTTTTTTGTGTTTCCTGGTGTTCAGCCTCAAGAAGCAGCCTATGATCAGTTGAAATCTCCTGCTTGAGAGAGTGGGGCTTAAAACCTTGAGAATTTCACTTTTTATTTTCCTTAAGACTCTTTTCCAGAGCTCCAAAGAAGGTCCAGGATTGTAGGTATATAGGAAAAACAGCTCAACACAAAGAAGAGGCACTCTGGTGGGTCACATAGAAAGTCTCCAACTTGGAGACTGAGTCCTGTGGAACCACAGATGGCCTGATAATTCAGTGGTATGCTAATGCATTGTTGGTGGAGTTGTGAACTGAGCCAACCATTCTGGAGAGCAATTTGGAACTATGCCAAAAGGGCTATAAAACTGTGCATACCCTTTAACCCAGCAATAGCACTTCTAGATCTGTATCCCAAAGAGATCATAAAAATGGGAAAAAGACCTACATATTCAAAAATATTTATAGCAGCTCTTTTTGTGGTGGCAAAGAATTGGAAATTGAGATGCCCATCCATTGGGGAATGGCTGAGCAAGTTGTGGTATATGAATGTAATGGAATACTATTGTTCCCTAAGAAATGATGAGCAGGCAGACTTCAGAAAAACCTGGAAAGACTTACATGAACTGATGCTGAGTGAAGTGAGCAGAACCAGGAGAACTTTGTACACGGTAACAGTCACATTGTTTGATAACCAACTTTGATAGACTTAGCTCTTCTCAGCAATGCAATGATGTAAGACAATTCAAAAGGACCCATATTGGAAAATGCTATCCACATCCAGAGAAAGAACTATGGAGTCTGAATGCAGATCGAAGCATACTATTTTCTTTTGTTTTGTTATTTTTTTCTTTCTCATGGTTTTTCCCTTTTGTTCTGATTCTTCTTTCACAACATGACTAATGTGGAAGCATGTTTAATATGATTATACATGTATAGATTATATCAGATTGCATGCCATCTTGGAGAGGAGGAAAGGGAGGAAGGGGGAGAAACTTTTAGAACTCAAAATCTTATAAAAGAGAATGTTGAAAAATAAAAATAATTTTTTTTTAAATTTCGTGGTATGGGCCTGTGACCCAGGTGCATCAGGTAGTAATGGAAAGGTGAACAAGGGAGCATCTGTCCTCAGATTCACTCAGTGAATCTGTGCTCTTTGGTATCAAGCAAAAGTGGAGCTGAAGAGATGGAATTTTGGGCTAACACTTAATAAGTAAACCAAGTGCTTAAAAGGATATTTAATCTTCAAAATCATCCAGATGGATGCTTTAAAAAAACACTCTCCCAAACCCCCAAACCTTCCTGAGACATCATAACTTATTCAAGATGAAAGGGCATTTAGGAACCATGTAGTCCAATTACAGACACTTCCTAGCTGTGTGACCCTGAGCAAGTCACTTCACCCTGTTTGCCTCTGTTTCTTCATCTCTAAAATGAGCTGGAGAAGGAAATGGCAAACCACTCCAGTGTCATTGCCAAGAAAACCCAAATGGGGTCATGAAGAGTTGGACACAATCAGATATTATCTAATCAGAATCAGACACAATTGAAAAGTGACTGAACAATAGTCCAGTCCCCTCATTTACATAAAAGAGAAGACTGAGGGCTAGATAGAGAATGTGATTTGCCAAAATCACACAATTGTTAGTGGCAGTAATAGAACTAGAAATTTAGTCTCCAAACTTCCAGGCTGGTACTTTTTTCCACTTCATATTACTCATTTTTGAGTCAGAAGAAAGATTTCTATTATACAAGACTGGTAGTTTTCAGCTGAAAAAATTATTTAGGCTTTGTTTCTCCCTTCTTCCGTTTCTGGAATGGAAGGAAGGGGAAACCCTCCCTCTAGGAACATGATGACCTAGAAAATAGAATTTTCTTCTTCTTTAAGCATGGCAGAGTCATTCATTCATTCATTCATTCATTCAGTAATTATTTATTGTATGTTAACTATGTGCTACTATAGTCTTTGAGCTTTTCAAACAATCCCTCTATTTCTTTTCTTTTTTCTTTTTTGGCAACTGGGGTTAAGTGACTTGCCCAGGGTCACACAGCTAGTAAGTGTCAAGTGTTTGGTCTGAGACTGGATTTGAACTCAAGTCCTCCTGACTTCAGGGCCAGTGTTCTATCCACTGCGCCACCTAGCTCCCCCCTCTATTTCTGTCTAACATGTATCCCCAACCCCATTTATCCTCAGGTACACTGATTAAAGCTGTAATTCACTTTTTATTCATTCATACCAAAAATGTGAGTGCTTACTGAACAATATTAGCCAACATTTTTATAGTATTTTTCTGGCCACAAGAAAAAAAATTACAGGTGGCCCAAAGGGTAATGGAAACAAATATGGGAGGTATATGTAGGCTACAACAAATTACTAATGATAATTTGTATGCAAGAAATGATGTAAAAAATATCATCAAGGAAATGCATAGCAAGAGTGAAGGGTAAAAGATTGGACAGCCCTCATGTTGCAATGGTATTTGTAGAATTTTTAAAAATCGGGAGAAATGTCTCCTAAAGATTGGCTAGGTCTTCTAGGTAGGATCTTCAATGAGTGGACATGCCTGATAATGACACAGGATGAGTGATATGGCCAGGCTGTGATCTGCCCCACTGGAGAAGGGAGCCATGTGAATAAGATCATAGGGCCTTTGGAAGTGTTGAGAGATTTATCATCTTAAAGGTTTTCACAGACAGCAAACATTAAGCACTGCCAGGCACTGTGTTAAGCACTGAAGTTACAAACAAAGGCAAAATCACGTCTGCCCTCGAGGAGCTCACAGACTATGGCACAGACAACCTGCAAACAATTAGGTACAACCAAACCATGAAAGGGATCATTTGATCCCCTCCAAGGTCAGTAGCACAAGGATTATTATCCCCATTTTCTGTATGAGTGGGCAAGTCCCTTTCCTTCTCTGAGAAGATTTTCTCTATAAATAAGGAGGTTGGATTAGATAATATCTGATTGTGTCCAACTCTGTATGACGCCATTTGGGGTTTTCCTGGCAAAGATACTGGAATGGTTTGCCATTTCCTTCTCCTGCTCATTTTACAGGTGAGGAAACTGAGGCAAACAGGGTGAAGTGACTTGCCCAGGGTCACATAGCTAGCGGGTATCTGAGGTGAGATTTGAACTCAGGTCCTGTGCTCTATTCACTGAGCCATCTAGCTGCCCCTTCTACTTCTAGGTCTGTGACCCTGTGATCTCCAAAGTCCCTTCCAGTTTAAATCTAAGGCTATCTTGGTGTCTTCCCTGCCTTTCCTTCACCTCTCACTCCTTCCCCACCTCATCACATACCTTGCCATTGCTCTCCTCACATCCCTAAGGTGACAGGAGCCTGTTGTCCTGAGCGTCCTGTCCAAGGTCTTCCTTTTGTTGCTATGGTGCCATTCATGAAGGACCCAGGCTTCTGCTTCACAGAATCCTGACTCTTCATCTTCCTATGTGACACTGAGGATGTCAGACTCACCCTTCAGTGGGTTTGCCGGGGGGCCTTGAAGTGTGACTACATGTTCACTTTTGCATCTCAAATTCTACATTAACCAGACTTCTCAGAGAAGAGAAGGCATTTCCCTTTGCTGTCTTGCAGAGGTTTGGTATCCATGGGAGAAAATGTTGCATATGATGTCAGATTTTTTTCAATGTATCTATCAGTTTTTTCTCCTCTTTTTCTTTAAAAAATATTTTTTATGAGGCATGGCTCTCTGAAAGAGAGAGGGAGGGATACAGAGAGAAGTCGAGGTGATGGAGAAACAAAACATATCAATAAGATATATATTTTTAAAACCAAACTTTCCATTCTCCCTTCCCTTCCCCCACTCTAGTAATGCAGAAGAAATTAGTTATAAAGAATAGTAAAAGCAAATACATTACAATCTTCACAATAAGAGAAATATGGGGGCAGCTCTGTGGCACAGTAGATAGAGTACTGTCCCTGGATTAAGGGGGATCGGAGTTCAAATTCAACCTTAGACACTGACCAGCTGTGTGACCCTGAGCAAGTCAGTTAACCCCAATTGCCTCCCCCCCAAAAAAAGAGGGATATGACAGAATCAGAGAGGCGGGACAGTAGGGTAGGGTAGGTAGAGGATGGGGACTCAGGAGACCTGGGTTCCAATTTTGGCGCTGTCATTCATTAGCTGTGTGACCTTGGGCTACTCTCTTTCTCTGACAAATGAGGGGATTGTATTAGAGATTTCTAAGGTCCCTTCCAGCTCTAACATTCTATTTACCAAGACAAAAGTTATTAACCTCTTTTGTATCACGGACCCCTTTGGCAGTCTGGGGAAGCCCATGGAACCCTGATGAGAATGATGTTGGTGCCTGAATTCATAATTAAAGGAAATAGATGTTAGTGAAAATAAGGTTGTATTTTTTCCCCATCCAAAATCGCTGACCTCCTGAAATCTGTTGACCCCACGTTAAGAACCTGTGTTCTGAGATCTCTTCCATCGCTGACATTCTATGCTGTAGGGACTCTTCCAAATCAAACGTTCTGTCAGCTAATGTGCTAATCTGTGAAGCTTGGATTCAGTCAAAGGGCCGCACTTGAGGACCTAGAGGGCTACATGCGGTTCTGAGGCCATAGGTTCCCCACCCCTGTTCTAAGGCCTCTTCTAGCTTGAACATTCTAAGATCCTGCTGGGGAGCTTTCCAACATGCAAACAACTGAGTTTTAGAGATCTGACACAGACTCATATATGCCGTCTGATTATAGAATATGGCTCATTATGTATAAAGATAATTAGCAGTTTCAGTTTCAGATTATTAATAGAAAACCCAAGGCATGCCTTAATGCTATGGATTCATGCAAAAAAAAGGCATGAACTTGGTAAACTCATAATTGTGAAATACTTCAAAAAAATCCAGCTGTCTGCTGGATCTAAGTTCCACCATCTTCTTTCTGACTCCTGAGATTCCTTTAAAAGTAGAGGGGTTCCGGGGAAAGAGTCTGACTTTTGAATCTGAAAATCTGAGTGTGCCCCTCAGGTCAGTCCTTCCTAGCCATGTGACTGTGAGCCAGCCACTTCATTTCCCTGACCTTCTGTCTCCTTATCTATAAAACAGGGATGTTTTGAGAAGAGTACTTCAGCCGCATAAATTCGATCCACTGGGATTGTTGTAACCCCTCTGGGTTAACCACTCCTGCCTTCCCCGACTTGAATTCACAGGTTGGGTTCCCAGAAATAGCTACCCCAGGATCAAGGTACTGTGTGTGCAGACTACTAAAATAAAGCGGTCCTGGTGTGCTGGTGTGCTGACCGTTCAGTAGACAGCTAGAGGACATACTTAGTTTACAGCAAAGGCATTTACAGGAGAAGCATAATACAAAGATTTACATTACAGCATTCCCTCCCCCCTCTCTCTCTCCCAAATCTGGGGCACATTCTTCCACAAACATATACAACATGAGTGGGAGAAATGAACAAAGATAGAGATCAAGTTTGAGGACTCCCCCATCCCCACGTGGGGACTCCTGGTAGAAAAGATATGGCATCTCCAGCCTCCCAAGGCCCTTGCTATCTTCTCTGTTTCACCGGGCTCCTTGGGCCTGCTCTCTGCTGGACTCCAGTGGACTATGGCCTTTCTGGCTTTTTTCAGGTAGATGCAGAACCCTCCCCCTCACTTGATCCATCCATCCTTGCTACCTATCGTCCTATATCTCTCCTCCCTTCCATGGATAAACTCCTTATTCAATCTGGCTTTTGACTCGCTCCAAAATGACCAGCAGTCTCTTTGTCACCAAATCCAATGGCCTTTTCTCAGTCCACATCCTTCTGGACCCCTCTTTGACACTGATAGTCACCATCTCCTCCTTGCTGCTCCACTAGTTTTAGAAGGCATTGCTCTAGCCTGGATCTCCTATTACCTGTCTGACTTTCCTCAGTCTCCTTTGCTGTGTATTCATCCAGGTTGTGACCACTAAGTGTGGATGTCCCCAGAGGCTCTGGGGACCTTTTCTCCTAGGCCCTCTTCTCCTTCTATGCTAATTTGCTTGTTGAGTTCATCAGCTCCCATGGCTTCAATTATCATCTCTGTGCCGATGATTCTCAAATCTATTACTTAAACTCGACACATCCAAAGCCCTCCCTTCTTCCTAAACTTCTCTGTGATTTTGGAGGACACTGCCAGGCTTGCCACTTACACGTCATCCTCAACTCCTCCATATCCAATTCATTGTCAAATCCTGTCTATTCTGTCTTTACAATGTCTCTCTCTCTTTTTTTTCCCTTTTCTTTTTCTTTTTTGATGAGGCATTTGGGGTTAAGTGACTTGCCCAGGGTCACACAGCTAGTAAGTGTCAAGTGTCTGAGGCCGGATTTGAACTCAAGTACTCCTGACTCCAAGGCCAGAGCTCTATCCACTGTACCACCTAGCTGCCCCTACAACGTCTCTGGTTTATGCCTTTGCTCCTTGCCACTCCCCTAGTGAGGGTTCTTACTTCATGCCTAGAATATTGCAATAGCTTTTTGGTTGCTCTATGTACCTGTCTCTTGCTCTTCCAGGCCATCCTCCACTTAGCTACCAGATTCATCTTCCTAAAATGCAGGTCCAACCATATCAGTCCTCTATCTAGTGCCTCCAGGTTCCTTCCAGGAGCAAATATAAAATCCTTTGTTTGGTTTTTAAAGCCGTTCATCCCCTTGTTCCTTCCTTTCCAGTCCTCTCGCACCTTAATACCCTTCATGTATTCTATGATCCAGTAACACTGGCCTCCTTCCCAGAGGACAACTTCCTTCTCTAGCCAGCTCTTCTTTCCATGTTGTTTCCTGTATTAGAAAGTTTATTTTTTTAAATTAATTTATTTTTAGTTTTCAGCAATCACTTCCATAAGCTTTTGAGTTATAAATTTTTCTCCCACTCCCTCCCCATCTCCTTCCCCAAGATGTCAGTGCAATCTGATGTAGGCTCTACTTATGCAGAATGGAAGTTTCTCGAGGGCAGAGCCTGCTTCGCCTTTGAATTCATATCCCCAGGGATGTGAACAGTGTTTGGCACATGGTAGGCACCTAATCAATGTTTTCATTTCATTTTGCCCAAAGTCACTTGGACAGTAAGTGACAGTGCTAGGTTTTACACTCAGGGCCTTCTGACCACAAGCACAAACACCTGAAATTTTAGTAAGACATAGAATCTTAGGACATTAGCACTAAAACAGACCTTAAATATAGCATGTTGGAACACAGCACTCCTAGAGCTAGAAAAAAAATCTAGAAACCAACACGGTTGTCTACAGAGGAGGCGCCCCAGTCCTAAGGATGGCAAGGGATTTTCCTTCTGTCAACCTTCTCCCTGCCTCTTTGCTTCCTCCACCCATTACTCTGGTTCAGCCCTTTGGAGCCCAGAAGGATGGGTCTAATTCTTCTCCCCAACAACAATCCTTAAGTGGCTTCAAGATGAGGCCCCTTCTCCAGGTTTAACATTTCCAACTCCTCCAACTGACCTTCCTGTAACAAATGTTTATTGGGTTGGGATGACTAGAATCTGCCATGATCTCAAGGCCTGTGTTCACTGAGCCACTGTGTTCGCCTTTCTCTGGTAACTCTCAAGCATACTGATGTCTTTTATAAAACGTGATGCTTAGAAATGAAGGCAGTGCTCCAGATAGGTACTGACCAGGATGGGGTACAGCAGGGCTGTAACCTTCCTAGTCCTAGACACTCTACTGTTACTGCAGTCTGAGGGACGTGGAGATTCTCTGGGCTGTTAGATCACATTGTGGACTTGTCTTGAACTTTCAAGTCTACTTTAAACTGGAGGTCTTTTTTAGATGTCAATGTTGCTATCCTACCGTGACTTCCCCATCTTGTACTTGTGAAGATGAACTCAAATGCAATAACATCCCTTCTAGGTCTGACACCCTGTGTTCTAAGGACCCTCCCAGCTCTGACATCCTGTGTCCTAAGGGCCCTCTCAGCTCTGACATCCTGTGTTCTAAGGGCCCTCCCAGCTCTGACATCCTGTGTTCTAAGGACCCACCCAGCTCTGACATCCTGTGTCCTAAGGGCCCTCTCAGCTCTGACATCCTGTGTCCCAAGAGCCCTCCCAGCTCTGACATGTGTTCTAAGGCTTCTTCCAATTATAAGTCTTGGTCCATAGTCTCTTCCAGCTCTAAGATTCCATATTCAGGATCTGCTATCAATTCAGTGAATCCGTGAGCCTTCTATGAATCTATGAACTTCTCCTGTAGTACACACAGAGCCCTAGTACAACCAGCCATTAGAAAATGTACAAAATTAATTCATGGAATCACAGAATATTACAAGTGCTAAGGCCCTCAGAGCTCATCTTGTCTAACCCCCTACCCCAAGCAGGAATTTCCCCTCTATATCTCTGACAAATGCCATATGGCTTCTGCTTGACTATTTCCAGTGATGAGGAACTCACTATCTCATCGAAGCAGTTCATCCCATTTTGGCGATGAATTT